AACCCCCTGACGGTGTGTTCTTCTGCTTCTGTCATTGCCCCCCCCCTCCCTCCTCCCCTCCTTCTCCTCTCTCTCTGTTCATGTGTGGTGGTCCAGGGCAGTGTGTGTGTGTGGTGGCACACACACACACACACTCACACACACACACTCAGATCTCCACCCTGAGGTACCGGTAGAACCCTCCGTTCAGTGGAGCAGGTGTTTTTCGGTGATGTGTTAACGAGCACGGCCTGCTGTCATTTCCTCTTTGAATGAATGTCACAAATAGATCTCACACACACACACACTCACACACACACACGCACGTACATTTGTCTCCGTCCCTCTCGGCAAATTATTCTGAAACAGGTGATCTTCAGATGTGTTTGTGTCACCGGTGTGTGTTGGTATGTGATCAGGAGTGATGTGAACACCTCTGTGTGTGTGTGTGTGTGTGTCTGTGTGTGTTCAGGTTCATGGAGTCACTGATAAAGTAAAGGTTCGTCTGATGTTGTCGATGCTCTGACCCGTCCAGTGAGCAGCTCTCTGCTGGAGTTTTTTATCTGTGTTTCTGTAGCCTAATAGGGATTTGAACCAGCAACCCTCTGATCATACACTCGTTCCTTTGTTTAGTGAAAAAAAAACAATTCCCTAAAATAAGTCCTGGAATTTTTTTTTTTTTTTTCACAGGCATTAGAAGCAGTTTTACTTTCTCAAATTGAAGTGAATTATTTTACATTTTTGACAGATTTTCCCTGTTTTTTTCAACAAGGTGAAAGGGCTGCGATCAATTCTCTTTTTTTAAATTATTTTACTAATCAGATGTGTGTGTGTGTGTGTATACACAGCTCTTCTTCCAGTACACCGTACTGACTCTTCTGTTCGTGTGTGTATGTGTGTGTAATCCATGTGTGTGTCCGTGCTACTGCATGTTATCCACCTTGGTGGAAATGTTTGACACTCATGTAATCCTGACATGGGTCATCTGACAGAGTGGGGGTGTCACCTCAGTGCCAGGCTGTGCCAGGCTGTCAGCTAATTCTCTGTCACCAGCTGCTCAGCAGATGTTGGTGCGTGTCCCTCTGATGTTTCTCCATGTGTGTTTTGACCTTCGTCCATGTCATCAGGCTGACGCCATCCACTGATCCTGAACTGGTGGTGTATGGTCTGTCTGTGTGTGTGTGTGCGTGTGTCTCTCAAAAGATCTCAGCTGTATGACTGCCCCCTGCTGGGTCTGTTTTCCACTGTTCAATATTCCGTTTAATTATAGAAAAATAATTTTGTCAGGATTTTCTGCTGCTTCAAAAAAAACTTCCTTCTATTAATGAAGTGACGTCTGCTGCAGATTATCAAGGCCACACTGATGATTTTAATAAAATTAATACCTTCTGCCCCCTACAGGTGAATACATAAAGAACTGGAGACCACGGTACTTCCTGTTGAAGACAGACGGCTCCTTCATCGGCTACAAAGAGAAACCTCAGGATGCAGATCTGCCGTACCCTCTCAACAACTTCTCTGTAGCAAGTAGGTGGTTGGGGTTTCTGTTTCAGGGGTCAAAGGTGAACCTGGCTAACATAATGGAGTATGATGTAGTACATTGTGGCAAGTAGGACGTCCCCTGTCTGTCCTCTGTCTGTCCTGCATTTGAAGGAGACTCTCATCGACTTCACTCAGACGTTGCCGAAAACGTTCCTGTGATTTCATCCCACGACGCTGCAGCAGAAACTCACGGCGGCCGTTGCGTCAGTTTTCACTCAGGTGGTGTCACAACATCAGTCGACACATCACAGCGGCGCTCCGCTGTACGCCGCTCACATCGGTCTCTAATGAAGCGTTCATCACTACATCATCTGTCTGCACCTGGTTAACAGGCTCCACTCTGTCGTCACCACGTGTGATTAAGCAGCTCATTAGTTAGCAAGATGAATTCTAATGTTTCTCATTACCGCCGTCGCTGCAGTGTTTGTACAGTCGCTGCAGATTGATTTCCAGGTCCAGCGCCTTCATCCTGGCGCCCCCTGGATTGGAGTGGATTATACAGAGAGGGAACAAACTGCTGCTGAACTGGTGAAGACATCTAACCCTAGTTCTGTCTCCGTCTCCACGCTGTGATCTGTGAAGGTCTGAAGACCAGCTCTGTTGGCAGATGGAAAAGAGAAAAAAAAAGCGTTTAGGAGAAGAGGTGTGAGGTGAGGGCAGAGGAACCATGACAGATTGTGGACAACACGCCGACACCTCCGAGAAAAGGATAAAGAATCGACCACCGTAGGATGGAGGAGGAGACGGAAAGGCTGAAGTCCGGAAGGGAGGACAGGATCTGGGAATGACGGATGAGAATCCATCAGGCAGGAATGAGGAGAGCGAGTTAGAGGTACAGAGGGAGAGAGAGGAGAATCATCAGTGCATCATCCCACGGCGAGAGAGAGAGAGAGAGAGAGAGAGAGCGAGGGAGGAAGACAGAAGTGGAGGAAAAGAGTTTGTGACGAGGAAACGCGGGGCCATACATCCGGCCCTGGCTGCTTGGCACAGCGCTGACACTGCCACATCTGCTGCCCAAAGCTGGGAGGCCAGGTGGTGTGTGTGTGTGTGTGTGCGTGTATCTGTGAGTCCAGGTGGTGTTGTTTATCTGTGTGTGTGTGTGTGTGTGAGTGTGAACAACAGAAGTGGTCAGATGGAACAGAGATGGTACAGGCCTGTTCCCTGCAGAGGAGCTCATACATACAAGCCTGTCCTGCTCTCACACACACACACACACACACACACACAAATGAGAAGTGATGCGTTCACTCATGTTCAGCACCTAAACTGCTACATGTTTCAAAGTGGACTGCTGTGGCAAACAACCCAATTTCCACTAATGTTCGAACTTCAATATCACGTGTGTGTGTGTGTTTGGCCAAATCCAGACACTGACCTTGTTTTTTTCCGGCACCGCGGCACAAACAAAGTTATTATTTTGACTGTGTGTGTGTGTGTGTGTGTGTGTGTGTGGCAGGGGTGGTCGTTAACCTTCCTGTCTGTGTTCAGACACAGCCGTGACATGCTGTGTTTTGACACACTTAAAAATGAGGAGGAGAACGCAGGTCCAGTGAGAAAGGACAGGAGGTGAAGGAGGAGCAGAGGAGAGAACATGAGATCAGAGTCATGACAACAGAAGTGGACGGTTTTTCTGAAAATCATTTCTACTTTTTTTTTTTACCTGTTTGACACAAGGAGGAAAAACTTGATATTTGTTTAATTATAATCACATAAATAAAATGAACCAAAACTAGGAATATTTGACTGGGAATTGATGATTAAAAAAAATCAATACACTGTATCAGGAAATGTAATATTGCCAGATGACCAGCAGTTGGCGTCTGTTTGTTAACGATCTCCGTCTTCTGTTGTCGTCTCTGTCTGTGTCAGAATGTCAGCTGATGAAGACGGAGAGGCCGAAGCCAAACACCTTCATCATACGCTGCCTCCAGTGGACCACGGTCATCGAGAGAACCTTCCACGTGGACTCACCTGACGAGAGGTCAGTTCCTGAAAAGTACTGGTCAGAACCTCAGATTGTACCGCAGTAGCCGTCGGCCTGTGTCTGTGATTCTGGCCGATGTTAAAGGCAACAGTCGGAGGCGGAGTGTGAAGTCCACTTCGACCTTAGGAGAAACGGCCAATCAGGTGCTGTCTCTCTGACATTTCCTCCACAGCAGCAGTTTGGATCAAAGCTGACATTTGAGCTGACACACGTTAAAACCTGTCATTTAAAAAAAAAAAAAAAACGTCTCCGTCACCAGACAGTTTATTCCCTTCCAGATGAAGTCCAATTTCTTTTTTAATCACACCGTTTGCTGGTGTTTTAATCCTGTGGAAATTAATGTTGACGTCAGAGTGACATTTCAAATGTGCCGAAAAAAAATCCACATTTTCAATTGGAAGTATTCTATATTTTTTTAACAGAAAAAATGATGATGAAAAATAAGATGTTGACGTTCGTATCATCAGGGCCGCGTTGTCGGCTTGAGAGCTTCTCAGTGTACGTGTGTGTGTGTCTCAGAGGGGGAGAAGGGGTGAGAGGGTGAGAGAGACAAAGTGGGGAGGAGACCTTTCAAGTGGTGTCGGCATAAATTCTCCAGCTGCTCAGTTCCTTTCTGAGAAGCTGAGGTGTTTATCTCCAGAAAATGAACAGCTTTGCCCAGAAGACCACAGATGCTGCAGCGCTTCCTTTGACTTTCTCTCTGTGTGTTTTTATCTTTCCGTGTGTGTGTGTGTGTGTGTGTGTCGCAGCGAGCGTGTCACAGCTGTCCGTCCAAACTCCCGTCTCCCACAGATTAAAGGTTTAATGTAACTGGGACAAATAAGAATAGAAGAGTAAAACGCTCTGGTTTCTGATTGGTCGATGTGAAAAGGTGCGTTTCTAAAAGTTAAAGGTAAAATGAAATAACTACATTTTTAGTTTGATTTAAGATTCAGATGTTTTCTTCATCTACACTCGGACATAACTGTGGTGAAATGTAGCATCAAACAGTTAAAGACGAGACGTCAACGTGCTGAGGCGGTGGAAGAATTCAAACTTTAATCTGATTAATCACAGTGTAGCTGTGGATTCATCAAGATTAGTCCTGATTGATCATGATCGAAATTTATTTTAAGGTTCATCCAAACACATTCAGTGTATGCAATGTATACTGTATATATAGTGGACTCCATAGATACGAGCTTCACGAAATACAGTCTATAATACAAATCTGCAACTATTGCAAGATTTTGCTCCTGATACGAGGAAATATCTAGTTACGAGTTCCCAACCGACCTCTATTTTTCCCAGTCCTTCTCCTATACCTAGTTGCCCCGATGCTCTGTCGCGCTAGCACGTCCTCACTGTCCTTCACTTGATCATTTTGCCTGCCGCTTTCTTTATCTCTCTCTCTCTCTCTCTCTCCTCCCCCTTCTTCTCCCTGCCTGATCCAGCCATTCAATGTTGACTAATACATTTTCATAACAATACTATAAAATGTTTTCTTAATTATTATTATTTTATATTATCAATAAATTGGTTTATATCTATCTTTTTGATGTTTAATTTAATTTATTTAATGGTATATTTCATGGGGGGTTTATATCTATGTTTTTGATGTTTAATTTAATTATTTAATGGTATATTTCATGGGGGCTGGAACGAATTAATTGGTTTTTAGTTATTTTTAATGGAGAAAATGCGATCAAAAGAGATACGAGTGCTGCTGTGGAGTGGATCAGACTGGTCTCTCAGTAGTTCCACTGTACTATATATATATATATATACACTGTATGAACAGGTGACGTGTTCTCCAACCGAATCTCGTCTGGTACCGACTGTGGTGGTCCAGATGTTGTGTGTGGGTCTGTGTGGATTGTCATTGAAGTTGGAGTGAAGAACTAAACTCTGCAGGTCTGTGTGAGTCTGTCGGTGTGTGTGTGTGTGTGTGTGTGTGTGTGCGCACACGCATCACCACTGGGTTTTTGTCACTGTAGGTGTTTGTTACTGTTTGTTACTGTACCAGAGCTGGCAGAGTTCCAGCCTCCACAGCCCCCGCCGTCAACACTGGGGGTGGCAAACACTGGCTCGGTGCCCGATTGTAGGCAGAGCCATTATCTCTCATTAGCAAAAAAAGCTCATTACAGACACACACACACACATTAACACACACACGCATTCACAAAAAAAACCCACTTGAACCAAGACACGGAGAGAGACCATTTATCTGCTGCTGACCTTCAGAGAGTTTCTATTGATTTTATTATGGTCTCACACACACACACACACACACACACACACACACACTTGGTGAAGTACTCCGCTGTTGTAGATGCAGTGAATCTAGATCTCGTCCTTGGTCTGGACTGTTTAGGGTCAAATCAGAAGAGTTAGCAGTGGAAAGTTGGTACGATCTGAGAACACACACACACACACACACACATTCTGATCTGATCTTCTGATCCTTCGGGGAAACATATGGAGGTTTAGGTCTGAACACAACAAACATCTGATGATTTGTGAGTCAACCAGGTTCAGATGTTGTGAGGAGTCTCGGAGTGACTCTGGTTGATCCTCGGGATTCCTCCATGTTTGATCTTCATCTTCGCTCCACCTCACTCCACCATGTTCACCTCCGTCTTCTGTTTAACTGTGTTCTTCTGCACGTGACGGCGGATTAGAACTGTTTGACGGAAGATTCGCAGAAGAACTGGGAGGTCTGAAGAAGTTCAGTTTCAAACCCCCTCCTCCTCCTCCTCCTCCTCCTCCTCTCTTCTACACTTCATTTTTCTTTCCACTGTTGTTGATTGTCTTAGTGAAGCAGAAAGAATAAATTCATCATCATTAAATAAAAACTAAAGTGTTTACACATCCTGATGCCTGACTACACACACACACACTCTCTCTCTCTCTCTCTCTCTCCTAACAGATGTTGAACAACACCTCTAATGGAAAGTCAATGGGGAGGAACCATATTAACAAACAAACAGTGTATTGTTCTCCTCTAATGTCCACACTCTCGCTCACACCCCCCCACTCCCAACCCTCTCTTTCTATCTCTCTCTCTCTCTCTCTCTCTCTCACACACACGCACACACACAGGCCCAGCCAGGCAGACATTAGTTCTGCTCCCTGATCATTGCTCATCTGTCTGCTCCTCTGGTCGGCCATGTTTCCTCCCGGTGTTTAACGTAATTAAAAACTCTTCACAAACCGGAAGGTCAGAAGGTGAGAATCAAACAGTTCCAGTGCTGCAGACACCACTGGAACTGTTCCTTCATCTACTGTACCTCCATCATTTAGTCATTACAATAACAGTCTGACCCACAGGTGGAGTACCAGCAGTGGAGAAGCACTGTCGGTGTGTGACATGACAGCAGCAGCAGCAAATTCTGTTGATTGTAGTTCTACATCTGACCTTGACCTTTGACCTTTCTCTGCTCTCTTTGCCCGAACACAGAGATGAGTGGACGGAGGCCATTCAGACGGTGGCGGACCGGCTGCAGAGACAGGAGGAGGAGAGGATCCAACGCAGCCCCACCTCCAACATCGACAACCTGGTGGAGGAGGAAATGGACATCTCCACCACACACCACAAACGAAAGGTCTCTCTCTCCCCCTCTCTCTCTCTCACACACACACTCACACAGACACAGATGGCAGAGGCGTTGTCCCTGTACTTGTTCACTGTCGTGATTTCTCGACTTCATGTATTTTATTAAATTGTCCTCAGTTTTTTTTAATAATGAAAAAGCTGCTCTGACAAAAACTGTTTTTTTGTGTACTAATAATATTAATGAGCAGCGTTTGGACGCAGAGAGAAGAAAACATTAGTAAACATCAATGAATGAATGTAAAAGTCCATCCAGGGGGCGCTGTTCAGCTTGTTTGCTAACAGCAAAACAATAAGCTCTCAGATCTTTCTTATGGGGTTAGAGGATCTACACTGCCCTCTTCTGGAGCACATTGTACCTGCTCAGGTGTCATTTAGGTTTCACCTGTGAACATTTTTATCATTGTGACCCAGGGTTTTAACCTTCTTTAACGTCTTCACCTCTGTAGACGATGAGCGACTTCGACTACCTGAAGCTGCTGGGAAAAGGCACCTTTGGAAAAGTCATCCTGGTCCGGGAAAAGGCCAGCGGCAAATATTACGCCATGAAAATCCTCAAAAAAGAAGTCATCATCGCCAAGGTGGGTCTGACCCACACTCTCTGGGTCTTTTCAGACAGACACGGTTCTGGAGTCTGAGAACCTTGGTGCTTTCTGGTGAACCATTCATACCAGTTTAGGAGGAACAAAGTGGTGCGTAGTAACGTCACACACCCTCGTCCTTCTCCTCCCACAGTTCAACATAAATCCTATTTTCTCTGTATTTCTCTCCAGTTTCATTTAAACATCAGGTGAAGCCCACATGGGCCACCAAACATTTAGGTTTCCTCCGTGGACCACTGCACATGTTCGCCGTCTGTTGCTGCTTTTTTTAAATTTATTATTAATTAATTTTTTTCAAACATAGTGTAAGACACGTAGCCACAGATGATGTCACGGTTCTCAGTGGAATCAAGTACTTCCTGCTTCAAACTTTCCAGGTTCTGAACCTGTTATTTTTTTTGGGATGTGAATGTGTTAAGAAAGTGAGTTTGGGAACCAGAACCGACACAGAGCTCCATCTGTGAGAAGGTTCAGCTCAGACTGGATCAACAGGAGCTCCGTGTTTGTGCTGCGGAGCGGAGTCAGATGTCAGTAGCTGATGTTGTTAGCTCTCAGATGTCTGCTCAGCTGCTGCTGACTTCACCCAAACTCTCCGTGTCATGTTGTCTGAACAGGATGAAGTGGCTCACACACTGACGGAGAGCAGAGTCCTGAAAAACACCAGACACCCTTTTCTCACTGTGAGTAACCACACACACACACACACACACACACCGATCACAGCATCTGGCTCTGAAGTCAGACTTATAGAGTACTTATACAAGTGTAACAGGCATCTGTGAGAGCAAACACAACATGTGTGAACACACACACACACACACACGTTATACATTTACATACACAGACCTGCGTCTCTTGTGGCTAATTATGAGTGAGACGCCACATTGTTGTACGTTAACTGCTGCATCTGTTCACACTTCACACACCGTCATTGGTGAACACCTAGACGTATTAGCCTCTGCTCTGTGTGAACACACACACACACACACACACGTACACACACACACACACACAGTTCTGAGAGTAATTACAGTTCACATCAGAGTTTGCTCCATCGCACCTGAAGCCACAGAGAGACTCAGACCAACTGTTCTTTTGTCTAGCAGCGACTCAGTCAACACACACACACACACACACACACACATGTTGTGTTGTTGTATTCCTGCTTTTTTCGTTTCCAGATGTCGCACTGACTGTTCACACTGTAGCGAACACAGACACGGCATCAGTGCTAATGTGTCGCTCGTCAAAGTCAATAAAGAATCGTTGACGTTGTGAGTCACGTGACCCAGGTCATGTGACCCAGGTCACTGCTGCGTTAAACCTGCTGCAGTGAAGCTGAGGAGTAAACACTGTGAGGTTGGGATCGAAAATCATCGGTAACACGTTCTCCCTGCAGGGGGCGCTGATGTACAGAGTCAGGTTCTGGAGAGACAGTTTTTAACCAGGGTGTAACTTTAAACAGTTCCACGGTTCTGATCGGTACCTGTTGTGTTTGTGCTCTTCTCATTTCAGTCCTTGAAGTATTCCTTCCAGACTAAAGACAGACTGTGTTTTGTCATGGAGTATGTGAACGGAGGAGAGGTGAGAACTCTGACCTCTGACCTCTGACCTCAGGAACGTCACGTTTGAACACAGAGAAATCCAGACTTCATCACTACGCAACACACATTCATCTTCATCATTGTTTCAGTAGGGTGGTGGGGAGTTAGAGAGAGAAGGGGGGAGGGGGCACTGGTGGTTATTCAGTTAAACCACATCAACCTAACCACCTGACATCTCTCTACAGTCAGACTAAACATGTGTGGCATGCTGGGTAATGCAGTGTAAAAGTAGACGCTCTCTCACAGTTTCACTCTTCATTTCCTCCCTAACTCACTTCATTTGTCGACCAACTGGCCTCTCAGTGTTCTCCTCCTCCTCCTCCTGCTGCTGCTGCTGTTGTCTGTTTACACACATACACCTGCGGAGGGAGCAGGAGCGGGAGGGAGGCAGAGAGGGAGGGAGCAGCTTGAGGCTGAGACAGTCGGAGACAAAATGAGTTTGGATTTAAACCCTTTTCAATTTCTCAGATCTTTAGAGTGGGACGGTTCTGCGATCTCCACTCGCTCCCTCAGTGTCGTCTCCGTCACCTGCTCCGTCCCCTGTTAGTGAGGAGCTGCAGCCAGAGCCAGACCTGAGCAAACGCACACAGAGACACAGGGATGAACTCAGAAAAACACACGCGGCACTTTTTTTTTTTACCTCCGTGGGCAAATTGTGACCACACACACACACACACACACACAACCCATTACAAACCTGCCACAGTCACAGCTGCCAGTCCACTGATGAAAGCCCACCTGTCGTGTTGTCGCTCTTTTAGTGCCCCTCCATCCACACACACACACTGGAGCACGCTGGTGTGTGAGCGTTACTCCGGCGGCCATATGCAAACCTCCCCAAACAATTATTGGGGAGATGTTTGCCCCTTGGCCTCGGGAGTAATTTGTGGGAGTGGAGTGGAGCAGCAGCGCAGCAGACTGGTGTCGTCCCGCTGCCACATGTGTAACAGAGTGTGTGAGACTGTGACAAGTCGACAAGTGACGGCCAGGGAGTAGGAGAGAGTGTGACGGGGGAGAGCAGAGGAAAGTGATCACACGGAGGAAAAATGAAATCTGAAACTATCTGGAAAAAAAAAAGACAAACTGGTCTCTCATCTTGAAGTGATCACAAACTCAGTAAAAAAAAAAATCTGCTAAAATGGTGACTGTCATTGAAGACACTAAAAATTATAAATGAAATGAAAAAAAATCAGAAAAGAAACAAATCATTTTAAAAATTATAAATGAAATGAAAAAAAAATCAGAAAAGAAACTATTTTAATATAATATGTATGTGTATATATATTTGTCTATATAGACACATTTATAGGACATATTAAATTATTAATTTCTTTTATTTTTTTTATTGATGATTTATATATGTCATAATTTCATATAATTTAGTCAAAAAGTTCTGAGACCAGTTTAGGTCTTCAGTTTCCAGCTGTTGAACACAGATGCAAGTGAGATCAGAGTGGGACCCGGTCACATGACATGGTCACATGACATGGTCACGTGACTGGACATTTAGTCTGATGGACAAACAAGTCTTTAATCTTTAATTGTTGATCATAAAGTAAGTCAGTAAAAATCTGTTTGGACAAAACTGGAAATGAACTCCACTGATGACACAAACACAGTGTCTGTCTCTGATTGGACGGAACAATCCTGGGTTGATGCTGCTGTTCCCCCCAATCCCCCCCCCCCCCACAGTGGACCCTGTCAGGCTGCTGCTCCACTGCAGTGGTGGGCCTGTCGTTAACCAGACTGCTGTATTGATTAAAGCCTTGATTTGGCCCCGAGAGACCGTCACACAACTGAACATGTACAAACGACGCGTCCCGTGTCAGGAGACAGGTGGGCGGTGTGCAACACGTGTGACCCCTGAGGACTGAGGAAAAAACCGAACGTAAGCCTTCATTGTGTTTTACATCACTGATTAGGGACGGACAAATATCCTTTGATCCTGGCGCGCAGAACGGAAACGCAATTAAACAAATGCACACATACGCACACGCCCCCCCCCCCACCCACCCTCCCTCCCCCTCCCCCCCGTGCCCCCCCCCACCATCTATCATCTCAATATGGTGCGGGCAGCCAGTTTGTGTTGTGCTAATTTCCTCCAATAAATCAGTAATTATTGCTGTGCCATCCCTGCTGTCCCCCCCCTCTCTCTCCCGCTCTCTCACCCTCTCCTTCTCTTCTGCCTCCCCCCTTTTCCCTCCCTCCTTCTGCCACAGCTGTTCTTCCATTTGTCCAGAGAGCGGGTGTTCTCAGAGGAGCGCACGCGCTTCTACGGCGCCGAGATCGTCTCTGCTCTCGACTACCTGCACTCAGCCAAGATTGTGTACCGGGACCTGAAGGTAAACAGAGACAGAGGAGAGGGAGGGGGAGGAGAGGGGGGGAGGATGGTTTTAGGCCATAGATGAGAGATGACAGCAAAAAGTTGGAGGAAAAAAAAAAACATTTAATGAAAAAAAGATGCGAGTCTGAGGACGTGTGGTAATTAAAAAGAAGGACGAGCTCCGGGTGGAGAAGT